GTGTGTGTGTGTGTGTGTGTGTGTGTGTGTGTGTGTGTGTGTGTGTGTGTGTGTGTGTGTGTGTGTGTGTGTGTGTATGTGTGTGTGCGTGCATGCGTGCGTGCGGGCGTGAGTGCGTATGTGTGCGCGCGCGCGTGTGTGTGTGTGTGTGTGCGTGCGTGCGTGCGTGCGTGTGTGTGCGCACGTGTGTGTATACAGACGTATTACTTTATATCTCAGTAACGGAACTTTTAGGGTGAATTCTAATGTTGTGTTCTAAGCAATCATCGTGTTCACGTACTATGTGCATGCACCGTTCCAGTTGAGATGTGAATGATGTAAATAAACATATCTCTACATGTAACACATTGTGTAAATCGTATGCGATTTTATTTTTGTCCTTCAGCAACAAGCAATGTTCACTCAGCATGATTTTTACTCGACCGAAGGCGACTTACCACGAGAGCGTGGGCCCGGGCGGGAAATACTCACCTTTTTTGTTGGTAGGGGTGCTCCCCCTAAATGGAAAAATTGGGGGCAAAAAGATGGCTTGACGGTGAAAACATGGGGCAAAAAGATGGCTCGATAGTGAAAACATAAGGCAAAAAGCTGGGTCGACAGTGAAAACATGGGGCAAAAAGATGGCCGACGGCGAAAACATGAATGGGGTAAAACGATGACAAGGGAAAAATGAGGGGGGCAAAAAGATGGATAGGAAAAATTTGGGGGGCAAAAAGATGACAAGGAAAGCGAAAGATGGTGGGCAATAATGCGGCGCATATATATATACGTCACTATGCGGAGTAACCCCCCCCCCGGGGGCGTGGGGGTCTTTTCTCCGTGCATTCATGCAACGATGTGGGAAGCAGCAGTGAAACCTTTTAATGGAAAATCTCGTCATAGAATCATATCCATGTAAGAGAACAGCATGTTCAACCAATGTGTGCGACGAGTTACCGATGACACTAGCTGAGCTGTGTAAAAGCTACAGCTATTCCAATTAAGTGTTCTTGTAATCCACACAATTCCATTAAATATTTCGAAAATGTATATAAATTTTAAAATATTTCGTGCGATTAACTGGAATTAATACCACTATACCAAAACATATCTTCCAAGCGCTGTGCTCATTTTCGTAGTCAAGTATTGTTTTCAAACAATTTATTCCCTATTTGTGAAACAGTATTATATGCATCGGCAGAGCGGTGGGCCCACTATAAGCTGTATATAATAACATTGCATTATTATAGACTAATCAGTAAATGGGCCCTATATAACAAACCGCGGTACTTAAAATACCCGTAATACTTTACGCCTATGGTTGGCCATCGTACACACACACACACACACACTTATTTCCGCGTATTTGTGCGTGCGATTAGATTGTGTTTTGCAGAGGAGCACCATGACTGGTGGAACTACATACACGTTGGGCTCATTCACCGTCATTTTATTATTGAAATAACCAACGTGCCTCTGGTCTGATTTTGCTGTGTGAGTTTTTATTAGCAGAGAAAATTAAATTGATATATTGCTAGCACAAGATCTATAGTCTATAGGTCTATAAGTCTAAGTCTAGGTCTATAGATCTAAAGGTAGGGGCGTGTTTCGAAATTTACGATAATATAGTATTTGTTTCTGGCTCATTCTGTCTACAAGCATGCAGGGCGTTGGCGCGCCATAGGTAAATATGACGGTCCTATTTGCATCCAGTCCATAGGCGCAAATGCCATGGGGACACGGGGGACACGTCCCCCACTTTGAAGGGTGGAGGACACACTATCAAATGTTCCATTCCCAGGTTTTTGAATATGCATGTGCATATGCATAATTATAAGCCCCTTCTACAATATTATTATTTTTATGCTTGTCTCCACTACACGAAGTGAAAAAAATAGAAAGCTAGTATAAATTTCTGTGGTTTCTGCGAGGTGATCCAAGCCAGGTAATCAATCGTTATACAATGTATATTATATAATGAAATGTAATAAAACAAATGTATATATAAACTAGAGCACTCGGAGAGCGCAGACCTCTGCCAAGGCAGCTGCTCAATTCTCTCACTGTGAAAATGTTAATTAATTAATTAATTAATTGGATCCGGATCACCACCAAAATGTTATCAATTCTAAGTTACCCCATTTCTGACCTATCCTGAAAATTTAATTAATTAATTAATTAATTGGATCCGGTTCACCACCAAAATCTAATCAATTCTAAGTTAGCCCATTTCTGACCTATCCTGAAAATTTTATGACGATCCGTCCATAACATTTTAGGTTATGGACGGATTATTATTAGTCTGATTATTATTAGGCTGTACACAAACAAACAAACCCACAAACCCACAAACCAACAAACACACGCCGGTGAAAACATAACCTCCTGCCAACCCCTTGGCGGAGGTAACGAGGTGCACATGTAGCATAATGCATTACAACGTAATTTTAGCCAATTTTTAGCCTGTTTTATGTCGGCTATCAACGTTGAAACAACGTCGGTAACGTCGGCAACGTTAAAATGTCGACGTTGAAACACCGTGTTTACTTGAGTGTTCAGAGGCAAAAGCCTACAACACTACACTATCGCATGTGGGTAGGCAGGCGGACTTTAGCACGCAAACATGAATCGGACGGACGTGTGCCAAATAGCTCTCTGCTCTACGTTAATCGTCTTCGTCGTCGAGTTGCTGTTGCTGACGCTGTTTAGCGGAATTGTGTTTTCGCCGACGACGCTGACGATGGCAGGGTCGACGTTGACGACGGCACGGGCGACGCTGACGACGCACATAAGTGTCGACAAGGTGTGCGACGAGTTACCGACGACACTAGGTGAGCTGTGTAAAGCTAGCTATTCCAATTAAGTGCTCTTGTAATCCACACAATTCCATTGAATATTTTTCGAACATACATTTTCGATACAATAATATTCTTCAAATGGTTCGTTCGACTAATTCGAATACCACTATCAAGCATATCCTCGCACTATTCTTGGTGCTCACTTTCATAGTTAATTATGGTTTTCAAACAATTTCTCTCTGAGAATTATGATAATGGAACGGCAGAGCAACCGCAAATAAGAGACAGGAATGCATCTATATCTAACGATTATCAGCATATAGCAGGATGTACTAGTTACCGGAAAGCGCGCACACACACACACACACACACACACACACACACACACACACACACACACACACACACACACACACACACACACACACACACACACACACAGAGAGAGAGAGAGAGAGAGAGAGAGAGAGAGAGAGAGAGAGAGAGAGAGAGAGAGAGA